CATAATCATCACCATCATGATAATCATTACCACCATCATCATCATCATCACCACCATAATCATCACCATTCTCATTACCACCACCATCACCACCATAATCATCACCATTCTCATTACCACCACCATCACCACCACCACCATAATCATCACCATCATGATAATCATCACCACCATCATCATCATCACTATCATCATCACCATAATCATCACCATCAGCATTACCACCACCATCATCATCATCACCACTACCAACATCACCATCATCGTCATCACCGTATCACCACCATCATCTTTGTCACGACCACCATCATTACCACCACCATCATCATCATCATCATCATCACTACCATCATCACCCTCACCTTCACAATGACAAAAGCAATCACTCTCAGGGCATCATTCAGGCATCAGCTAGGTATTAAGTATATTCCATATGCCTTTTCATTTCACACAGAAGTTTCCAGACTATTGGAGGTAAAAGAAAAAAAAAAAAAAAAAAAAAAAAAAAAAAAAAAGTGAAAAAAAAAAAAAAAAAAAAAGGATCGGCATAAGACTGTCAAATTTTTATTTTGCCAAGTAAGATTATTAAAGCCAATCAACCAAAAAAGAGAGAGAAAAAGAAAACCAACAACTAAAAAAATAAAAAGTGCTTGGAAGACAAAACAACAACAACAATAGCAGAAATGGTCAGCATTTCATTAAAAAAGAATGTATATTTTTTGAGATCACAAAAAGGAAACATAACCTTGGCATTTGGCATTTTTAACACCTTTACAACAAGTTTATGAACAGCCTGCTATGGAATCTGCACTTTTCTGGTTTCCTGTGAACAGGTGGGGATGAATGCTGTCCTGGGTTTACATTGGAGAGTCTTTGATTTACTCTGCTTAAGAACTCTATGTAGGTTCCTGGGTGGACAGTTTGAGTTCAACTAGGAGCCATCCCAAAGGTTTGAACCCACCCAGCGGCCCCCTGGAAGAAGGACCTGGCAATTTGCTTCAGTAAAGATGACAGCCAAGAAAACTCTCTGGAGCAATTCTACTCTGCAACGCATGGTGTTGTTATGAGTTAGAACTGACCTGGTGGCAAGGGTTTGGTTTTAATCTTACAGGGTTGGTAGTTTGATTAGAACTTTTGTTTTCAAGTTAAAGACATGGAGGCTCAGAAAGATTTTGTCACTTGACCTGAGAACTCAGCCAGGGACCCCGCACAGCCTGTCTGATTCTCAGTCCAGCTGTTAAGCAGTTCAGCCCTGAGACCAGACCCCAAAAGTCCTTGCTGGCCCCCTGCGGGGCTGTGCTCTGTCCAGACTCACAGAGGGCGTGCCCAGTTTGCCTGACAGTTTCCAGAATTCTCTGTCTGCCCAAACCCCTTATCTCTGCCTCTGGCGTCAGCTCTTATCTGTCCTGCATGGTTGTGCAGAGTGGAGATGAAGAGATAGCAGGCTACCAAGCTCTGGAAATTTCCTTCCTCTCACCTCATCCTGTTGTCGGTGATCTCTCCCCCCATCTCTCCCAAGGAGGGGCAACTTTGGGAAACAGTTAGGGTCTCAAAAGCTGTGTGGTGACCCGAGAGGGGAGGTGGGAGGAGAGATGGCTGGAAAGGCTCTGCTCTTGAAAATGGAATCTGATATTAAAAAGCACCACTGAATGAGATAAATAGAAATGGCCAATCAGCTCATGGGAAGACACTCCCAGATCAGGGGCGTAGTAACCAATAGGCAAGGTACACACCACTTTACAGTAAGCCAGGTAAAGTTGAGCTTAATTGTGTTTACTTGCTAATCCGTAGTGAACAACTTCACAGGAATTTTGGGGAACCAGGTGGAACTGTGCCCTACAAATTAATTAGTAAGTACATTTGTCCCTGTTTTACTGAGTAATCCATCCCTGCCTCTGTCACAATGAAAGAAATTCGAATCGCAACAATGCTGAGATGTGATATTCACATATCTGACTGCCCGATTTACAGGTATGATGTGCCCAGGGTTGGCAAGAGTGATGGGGAAGGGAAGGTGCACTCTGGGGTCTGTTGGTGGAGATGAACATTGGTCCAGCTTTTTGGGGCAGAATCTATCATGATGATAATAGGAATGCCCTTTGACCTAGAGTTGGCACCCTGGGAGCTGGCCTTTTGGAAATGCTTGCATAAATGTAACAAAAAATACGTACATGGATGTTCACAGCAGCATTGCTTGTACTAGCAGAAATAAACAGACAGATACTGGAAGCAACTTAAATGTCCATCAAGATGGACTTAGATCAATAAACAACGCTTCAGCCACAGAAAACACAAGGAATTCCTGTAGACACTAAAATGGAGGCATTCTGAGATACACAAAGGATGTCGATGCTGGAATGGGGGTTATGTAAAGAAAAACAGGAGCTAGTATTACAGCTGACTGGTGGGGTCAACAATGATAATGCATTCTTGTCACTGTGGTTGCTAGCTGCCAGTTTGCCTCTGACTCATGAAGACAGCACACAGAATGACAGGGAACCGTACCCAACCCTGCTCCACCCCCATAACTGGCTGCCGATTGGACCCTGGTGATCCCTGAGGTTTTCACTGGCTGAATTTTAGAAGCAGGTCTTTCTTCTTACTCTGTCTTAGTGTGTAAACACTGCTGAAACCTGTTAGCATCGTAGAAATATGCAGTTGCTCTTTATGATGCATGAATTGGGCTGCAAACCGCAAGGTCAGTAGTTCGAATCTACCAGCCGTTCCGAGGGAGAAAGATGAGGCTTTCTGCTCCTGTAAATATTTACAGCCTCGGAAACCCTGTACAGGGTTGCTATGAGTCGGAACCAACTCCACGGCACATAACAACAACAACAACAAACCCTTAGTTTAGGACCATGCTGACTGACCCAATGACAATCACTTGCGTCAAGGAATGATGTGAATGGTAAGATGCCATCTGGGTAAAATGAAACTGAAAATAACACACGCACAAAATACACAAAACATACATATACACAGTGAGATGTGCACCAAAGTTTGTCAGTATGAATACTCACGATTGGGAGAAGTATCGGACGTAGGAAGGGAGGGAAACTTTTACTTGTCGATTTTATGTTGTTCTATGCCATTAGAATTTGCTTTATCATATGCATATATTGCTTTAGTTTTAAAAATAAAATTAACAAATGTACTTTGTGCACATAACTGAAGTATACATTATATATAAAAAAAGGCACGGGCGACTCATTGGATCTGGATTTGTTTTCTGATGCCAGTGACGCGCAGTGGAATGTAAACTTTAATCAAAGTAGATTTCTGCAGAAGACTGTCTGCATCAGTCAGGCCCACCTGAGGCTATGGCCTGTCCCATCCCCTGGGCACCAGTGAAGGAATGGTGGCTTCTGGCCCCACTAGGTCCTGCTTTGTGGTTGCAGTGGGGAGCAGCCTCTCTATTGCTTCTCCTGCCTCCCTCTCCCCAGGCATCTTTATCAGAAGCTCCCCACTAGGGAGACTTATTTCTAGCTTGCAGGCAATATTATTTAAAGTAACAGGTCCGCCTACTGCCTTTCCGACTAGGGAAACCTGCATCGCTCCACTCCAATTGCAGCTCTCCCAGTCAGCCTCCTAGGCGGGGGTGGGAGTAG